AAAAAAAAAAGAGAATGGTCCAGATGGAGTTTCTCATTTTGAATTCTCTTCCTTGAAAAACTGCAGGTGCGTGATCATGATTTGACAGTGCTGCATTATGGATTAGCTAGTGAAGGCTATTGTACAATGAGCTCTTCAGTCATCTCATTGACCTCCTTGAAGTCCAAGCATATAATCTCTGTGACACCAACACTGCTGCCGTGCTCACGTTTAAGTGGTGCAGCTAACCAAGTCTTTGAAAGAATTGTTTTTAAAAATTCTGAGACATGGATATTGAATTCTTCAAAAAGCAATTTTAATTCCTAAGGCTATGAAGAAAATAATCAAGCAGCACTGATTAATTTTTAGTACTGTATAAACAAACACTTATTTTAGATATTAATGAATTTATAGTATATTCATAATCACTGATGACCTATATGTGAAGTATTACTTTGGTGCAATTTAAAATGCCAAAGAGATGGAAAATGCCTTAAAGGTTAAGCCTCTGAAACATTTTTAATAGAAAAAGATTGACTGTACCTAAAATAATTTGTGCAATAAATTATTGAAATACACGATCTAGTTGAATGTTTTGTGGGAGGAAGGTTACTTAAGTTGAGAAGACAAAATTCTAGAAAAGTATTTAGTTCTAGACGTTAACTCAAGGTCTATTTGAATGTAGATTTTGCATTTCCAAAGATGACTCAGTGCATAGAGTAGGAAGGTGTTGTTGCACTGGCATAGATTGAGGGAGGATTCTGTACATTTCCAATGTTCCTCTGTTACCACAATCTGGTTGCATGACATAATAACAGCAATATGATGCAAAGGGTCCTTCTGCTTAAGTTCTTGGCTACAGGAGCTAAATCAAGTAAGGAATAAGCTGCATAAAAGTACCTAATTAAAAAAGCAAAGTACCCAATTTGTAAAAGCAAACTTCAGATAGATGCAGTTTGAAGCCATAAATTTAGAAAGGTAACTAGTTTGTAAAATAACGGTAGGCAAGAGGCTTGTCTATCCAGTGTGGATGTAAAGAAAAGATGAGTTTAGAGTAGAAGGAGAAAGGAAGCTTTCCATAGACCCTTGAATGGCTGCAGTATATTATATCCCCATTCAAGTACCTTTTCTGCTGTCACTTTCTATTTAATTTCTATCTCTTCTTTGTCCAACTTTTCCACACCCTCTCACTCTAAATGTCAGTTTTCCTTAGGTATATCTTTTACCTTCTAAATTTCCCCTAAATCTCTGTGTTTACATATCTGTCTTTAGGTCTGTGAATGCGAGTTCTTTTTATGGCCTTGTCTTCCACCTCTTGTTTTTATTAGTACTTACTTTGCAACCCAGGTGACCTTGCTTTTCATCACATTATTTCTACACCAAATGCTTTGGTTGCCCTTAGTACTCACCTTTATACTGACATTCTCAGCTCCCCTTGTATGTCTTCATAAAAATGAGGAAAAACAGTGTGTGAGAAGTTCATCAAAAGTAAAGATCGAAACTCCTGTATGTAGAGAATTGAACTTTTAAAGGGTTTATTTATTTATTTATTTAGTCTGTTTAATGGTGATATTTCTTCATGCTTTCTGGCTTGCCTGCTACAAAACAAAAAAAAAGAAGTGGTTTTTACTGTCATGCAAAAATACAAAAGTCCTCATGTTTTTGTCTTACTCTTTTGTCTTCTGCTCTTTTATCACAGAATCAAAGAATGGGAAGGTTTTGTACTATTAATACACATATTATTGTAGTATTAATACTACAATAACTTATGGCTATTGGTTCGCTGCACATCTTTTCCTGGCTTATAAACACAGATTTCTGGAAGGTTATCATTAAGCAGTAATGGACCAGGAGTCATTTTGTGGGCTGATCCAGTTAAATATATTGAAACTAATATGTAAACTAGCTCCTATTTTATCTCATATTAGTTGAGCTGGTTTATATTTTGGGATTCACTCCTATATTAGCAGCAAATGCAGAAAATGCAAATGTATCAATGAACAGTAGAGGTTAAACTGCAGGATACTCTAGGATAGGATACATCTCACACACTTGAGCTATTTTCTTTTTCTTTAATAGTTGCTTCAATCTGCACATCTGTACATTCAAGAATATATAGATTTTGGAAAGAACACCTGGATTTACAGCTCATCTTTTGAATCCATGTTCCTTTCTTAGAAAAAGTTTATTTGAATTACCTTGCTGGCACTGTGTCCTGAAGCAGTTCAGATATGATTACCCAGAGTGACATGCTTACTGCATTCCTACACACAGAATGACTTTCAGCCTAAGAAACATTTGTAAGACTAATACTACCCAAGCCAAAATGATCAATTGTTTTATAGTGGTCCAGTTTTCAGCTTCATTTCTTTCTTCAAGTCAGCTGAGGGATATTGCTGCATTACCAGAAGATGCCATTTCAGTTTGCATCTTAAACTACACTTTGTCCCCAGATGATGTTGTAAAATGAATTGTATTCAGGCAGAGGCTTCTCAAGCACAACTGCTTCATTTAACAGCAGCATATAAGTGTTCAACTCCCAATCCCTGGAGTTCTTCCTTTGTTAACAGTTATAGCATCAAACTTAAACTGGCAAGGTGTTTTGGAGAATGCAGTTTTTCTGAGCCAATAATTTATATTGTGAACTATACAATGTAATATTTTTTTTCTGTTTTAAATATGGTAACTAAGAAACCTAAAGAAATCAAAAAAGTCTTTTGTCAGCTTCTCAGATAAGAATAAAAAAAATATTCAGGGTTTTTCTGAGACTTTGGGTAATTTCAATTGAGACAGGGATTCCTGTCATAATCTGTTCATCTTCAATAATTTTATGTCAAGATTAATCACACTTAGTCTTTCAAATGCTAGAACAGGGATAGAAAATTCCATATTGATGCAAACCTCTGTGAAATTCTAAAATTATAAAAATCTTAATGTAAGGATTAAGAACTGATTTCCTGTGCACTAAATTCTAAAAAAAAGGGGAGCAAAAACTTCATATTTTATCTGAGTGCTTTCCAGGTATTCATGGGTACTTTTACACAAGAGCCTTCTCATCTAGGGAAATCTTGTCAAGAGTTCATTGATATGGGAGAAAGATTAATTACATGCTCAAGAAAACCAAGCTCTGTAACAGAAGTGAATTCTGCTTCTCTGCCTTAAGAGGAACAGTGTTTTCTCCTGGAGTTGTCTGGATTTGCAATATGGTGTATCCACATGATTTTGTAAACTCCTCATTTTGTACTGTTTTCTGAAAACTCATTTTTCTTTCATTCTCTGTCCTGAGAACACTCAAGTTAAAACTAAGTGTGCTAACTGAAGCCAACTGCACCAGTCAGTGATTATGGTTTTACTCTCAGTTGTTTTGAGATAGTAGAAAATAGCTTGTAATGAGGTGAAGACAGGTTGAAAGAAGACATTTTTTGGATCAAGGAAACAGCTTCCCTAGAAAACTGGAAGAAGATGACAGTCATGAATTTAAAAAAATACCAATATATCTTTAGATTAGTAATTCTACTTACCATTGCCTGATGTTGTACGTTATCTACCTTATGAAAGAACTTCATAACTTTTAAGTCAGTCTTTCCGTTTGGTTGTGTCATGCAGGCAGTGGGATTTTCATGGAGGGCTGATCACCTTTAAGTTTTTCATATTTTATAGCTGTTAGAAAAACACACAAAAAAATCAGTATCATCCATGGGCTTTTATATTCTGATAAACTGCATTTTTAGGTTCTAATGGGAAAAAAACCCTAAACCTGTCAAATTATTTAAATGGTTTTCATTTGTTTGTTTGTTTGTTTTTAGAGGAATCTCAGAATATAATGATTAACAAAGAGCTGTAGTATTTTCTATGCTTCTCTTTAGGGCTTTGTTTTACCACCTGTTTTGTTCATTGTCATATACAAGATGGTCATGTGTCTCCAGTAAGTTGCCATACCCTAGGCTGTGCTATTTCCTTGTTGATTGCATGTCATATCAGTTCAGTGCTTGATATTTGTCCAACTTACAGAGACCAGCCCGAAATACAATAATCTTATGCTCTTTTTAGGCTAGATAAATATCTATAAAGATATTTATATAAGCCACTTTGAAATTTATCCAATAAATTATTTTGATCCTCAGGTAAGACCATGGTCTTTTTTTCTGCAGGATGGCAAAGGGTCCGCTCTACTCTTTGGGCAAGAAAAATCAGGAGTAGCTCAACTTCTTTTGTTCATTTTTCTAGTTATAGGTGTAGGTGTTAAATTTCCATTCCATCAATAAAGGTTTTAATTTTTGTGTTACCCATTAAAGGTATGTTCAGGAATTCATGTAGAAATCTTCCTGGTTTCTATAAGAAATGAGACTGCATTATATACTTTACTTCTGTTAGTGGTAGAGGCCACAGATGATTTCAATGTTTCTAAACCTTTGGATTTTTAAAACCTGTATAACTCTCAAGAGTCTTATTCAGTGGCCAGATTTTGGTATCAGATGAGAATTAATTTAGCAAACCATTTTTAATGTAAGAAAACTAAAACTTTGTATTTCCAGTTCATGGTCAAGATATTAAAACTAATCAAAATTCTATCTATTGAAACTAAAACTATTTAGCATATAAAAGCAATAAAGAGAAAAATGAAAGAATAAAGAATACAGAAAAAAATCCTCAAGCAACAAAACCCCATGAAATATTGAAAACTATTCTATAGGTCTTGATCTCCAAAATATTTTTTTTATATATTTCAGCAGGGACCACTACAATCTCAGGTCTTTCAGTTTAGTCTTCTTTTTATGCAGTTAGTTTATGCATTACAAAAATTACCCACAAACACTGATTTATAAAGGTATTTCTTGATGCTTATCCAAAAAGGTGGTGAATAAGGAGATTACCAGCATAGTACTCTACACACCTACACCTCTGTGGAGAGCCAAACATCTAGGTGTGAATTTGAATGTTCAAAGTCAAATTATATGTCTTTACAGGTCAAAGAGTTTATTGAAGTGACTGGAGAGTCAATAATCATTAGAGTTTCTTTCCTTGTAGAAAAGTTCCATTCTGCCAAATCTGGTTGCTCAATTAACCTCTTGGCCAACAACTACAATTAAAAGGTGCATCTTCTCACAGGAGAGATAACAGTGTCTTTCTTCTATGCTAACAAAAATAGAAAAAAGTGTCTTGCAGATCTGCTCATAGCTTTGTGTGCTTTTTTGTCTTTCCTTTTCCCTTTAGGTTCCCAAAGTTTTGATTCATCTGCCTACACTGAAAGCTTCTGCTTTTTTTGTCATCCTGCAGTCCAGATACTTCTTGAGCGGTATTTTTAAATTGTCTGCCTTTAGAGCACCTATGGTATGGTGAGACTTAAAATTAGAACTATATATATTAATGATTCTCCTTTTAAAATATTAAGTACCTGTTTATTTCTTCCTGTACCCATAAAAATTGCTTTCTTCTTTTCATTACTGGTGCTAAGAGGTGGACAAATTCAACTATATGAAGGATGACCTTTCTTGCATCTGCTTTTCAGAGGGAGAATCTCTCTTCTAATGTAGCCAAAATTTATCTCCTTTTGCCTATTACAGCTAAATTAAGTTTCCAGTTTTCTTTCCTAAGCTTGAGACCTCTGAAATAAGCATTTATCTTTCATACATTCAAAGTCAAGAACATTATTGATATTCAAAGGTCTACAGACATCAGAAAATTCCCCGTGTTGTTTCTTTTACAAATTTAGTCATTTCTACTCAATGGGTGTCCAAATGGATAGGGACCTGAACCGTTTTGCTCTGAAACTGTTGAAATTAATTCCCTTAACAGAATCATGACACAATCCACAGAAGTCAGACTGGAATTGTTGGGGAAACTTTTTCTTCATTTTCTGTCATACCATCACTGAATGCAATATTATTTTGGATTGCTGAAGGCAAATATGGTTCTACATTTGCTGATTTCGTTAAGTGCTCCAGCACTGCACTGCTAGATAGTCAGTAAAGCATTTTCTTGGAGTTATTTAGAGTGTGAATGTACATTAAAACTATTAACAGAAGAAAAACAAAAGATAAGGATAATCTTTGAGATTTTGAGTCAAAAAGTACAAGTTTTCTGATTGTTTTTGTCTCTCAAAGGTCTTTTTTGTTTCTAGATGTACATTTCTTTAGGTGAACAGGAATTGGAATTCTCTTACCCTGTATATCTGAATGTTGAACATAAGCAATTGAAAGTGAATGTGAATGGAAAAAGAAGGTTGTTTACAAGTAATAAAGTGTAAGGGTCAGCTTCTTATTAGTGTATATATGATCGTTTCAAGGGTATTTTTTTTTCAATACTGCTCTTATTACTGACAAGGTTCAATATTTTTTGGCTGCTGTTTTCAAGCATAATATGTGCCTTTGCATTTTGACTATTATGTTATGAGACAGGGTTGCATATATTGAGATATGAAGATGCACTTGTTGCACCTGAAAGTCAGAATGAGCATCACAATTGCCTAATCTGATTGCCTTCTATGTTGGAAAGATTGGTTACACAGGCCCATGTAATATAACTCAACTTTAGCAAGACTCGTAACATCCTTTTCAATTGTATTTTTATTTATAAGCTGAGATGAATGTGTTGGATGAATGGGTTGCTAGATGGATTAAAAAATGAGCAGGCATTTGGACTCTCAAGATAGTAATTAATGGGTCAGCTTCCAGATGACAACAAGTCAATACTGCTGTCTTTCTTATTCAGCTATTTTTATCTAGGATGAAAATATTTCAAGATGACTAGACAGAAAGGACCCTCAGCAAATTTGCATGAGGCAAAATTGGGAAAAGAATGTTAAGTGACATTGTACAGAAAAACACTGAGAAACACAGAGGTTGAACCAAGAGAAACCTAACAAGTTTAGAAGGAGAAGTGTTAAAGTCCGGGATTTCAGACAAAACAACCAAGTGCATCAATTCAGCCTGGGAACTGACTTAGCCCCAGCTCTGCAGAAAGGAGAGGTTATAGTGGCTTACAAGTTGAGCATAAATGGAAGGCTGTCACCATGAATAACACAAACTGACCTGCATTGGAAAGAATATGGAAAATATATCAAAGGAATTTATTGTTCCTTTGTACTTCACGCTGAGGGGACCAACTAGAGTAATTTGTTTATGTCTGCCTTACAGTTCAAGAAGGATTTAAAAAAACTAGAAATAGTCCAACAAAGGGTTAATGAGAGTATAACACAGTTAGAAATCTGAAGCACATGGTCTTCAAATAGAGACTGCTTAACCTGGTGAAAGAAAGGCTAAAGAGACCCTTAATAGCAGTCTGCAAAGATGATGGAGTGAACTTCAGGACTAAAGAGTCCTGGCACTTGGTATATTAAAAGGTAAAAGCCACGGGTTTCAACTTCAGCACTGACCTTAGAAAAAGTGCTTCACCAGGAGGGTCATGCAGCACTGGAACACTTTATGAAGTTTGGTGACAGAATCTCCATCCTTGTGGTTTTTTCAAACTTTTCTAGATAAAGCAAAGTTGACCCAATCTAGTACTGGCTGTGGTCCAACTTTTAGTGAGATGTTCAATTAGGTGACCGCTAAGGCATCCCTTGTAATCAACATTTCTGTGATTCTGTGCTTTATACTACTGAATATTTTAATACTTTAGTCGTCCTGGTGCTCCAGATTGGGTGAAAAATTACAGTCAGGCTCTCTGTCCACTATGTTTGTTACATATGTAGACCTAGTAGTATAGGAGTTCAATGATTAATTAAATATTTCCTTTTCTTCCAATGACCAGTGAAGATTTACATAAAGAGACAAGAAAAGCTTCACTGTCATAATCCCTAAACAGTAGCAAGAAACATGTATTGCTATCTTCATTCCCTGGGATTGCTAACAGTGTTTGTATAAATGAAAAACTGTTAATATCAGAACACTGTAATTGATTAGCTTCTGTATGTTTACAGCTCTCTTTAATTGCTTAAGAATGCCATTTGTCAGCTTCATGTTCTATTGACAATGATATCGATTTATCTGATTTGGGCTTTGTCTTGTCTCTCGTACATAAAACTCACATATGCAGTTCAAATGGGAAATGACTCTATTGATTTCCTTAACTTGAGCCCAAATGCTAAAGATTTTTGGATAAGCTTTCTCATTATTTAAGCCAAAATCAATAAGAGAGAGCATCTTTTAATGAAAGAGCAGTTTGAGCAACGTACTTCAGAAATGGGGTCCTGTTCATCCTTTGCTTTACAAATCGATCTCTTTGGTTCCTTAAGTGAGGTCCAATTGGTTGACATTGTGGTTTGTCTTTGTGTGTAAACTTGCAGCTTCAGAAAGGAGACGAGCTACAGAGACAGAAGAAGAAAACATTTTCTCTGCAACAGAAAAAGGATGATCTTATTGAGGTACCACACTGCACGTTGTGTGTTCTGTAAAATTCTTGCTTTTAATGGCTGTTTTAAAACTATATAATTTATGGTAAAAATAATACCTTTTTCAGTTCTATCTCTTTATCTATTATTATTTTGTTGTGTATTTTTATTATACTTTTAAAAAATATTACGTACTTAAAGTATACAAGTAGTTAATTTGGAACTGTCACCTTCTTTATGATATTTCTGCATAAAGTGCTATCACAGACTACAATCTGATCTCATTGCTTTGTTAACCTGGTAATTTGTTCTGGTTTTATTTCATTGCTATCCTCGAGAAATTAGATTTAGTGTCTCCAGATTAAGCTGTATAAAATGAAATCTCAGATAACAAATGGAGAGCTGAAGTTGAAGAGCTGCAGAATGAACTGGGTGTATCCAGCTAGTTACATGGGCAGCCTAGTTAAATAGTTCAGGTACTGTACTAAGATATCATTAACTGCCCTGAACTACATAAATTAAGCTGATTATGCCTTCACTTAATTAACTGAGAATGACCTATTGATGTATAGGCAGAGCAGGATAGAGACTACATGCTGCACTGTACTAAATTTATAGGTTTTCAATTAGTTCTATTATTGACTGAGATTACTTAGAAAGGAGTTTACTTTTATGTTTTGTCGCAGGTTTTTAAATTAAGAAGTTATTTGGAAATGTCTGGTTTGTGTGCTCTTGAATGATTTGAAAAATGATCCGGTGAAAATTGTTTTTTTCATCTATATTCAAGGCTGATCAACACTTTTACAATATTTGTCTTTAAAACTACTGGTATGATTTATTATAGGTTTTGATAATAATCTCCAAAACATTAGTAATCTCCAAATTTCAGTCATAATATTTTAGAAACAATATAATCAGATTTGTTTAAAACAAAATTTTAGAGAAATACAAGGAAAATTTCCACAAAAATCTGACCATTTTATAATAAACAGAGATAGAGATTTTTCTTTCAGAAAAAATGTACATTGGCTGTGATTTTAGTTAAGTTCCGTACAACACCTGATAGTGATTTACTAAATGTATCAAATAATCTCAGTAATATATTTACAAATTTCTTTCAAAGTAAAATAGGAATTTGTCTAATGTAGGGATTTTTATTATGTAGAATGATTAAGTCAGTTAGAATTTAGTTACAAATCAACTTCCACTGTAGACATACTTTCAAAAAATCACACATTTAGAAACAAAAGACAAGAAAAAAATATAGCTGTTAATTAGTAATGCTACTATAACTTTTGGAGAAAAGTAGTAAGTTTAAAAATATTAACATGTAATAGTACTAGAACTGTTACATCAGGCTGATGATTCTTCTGTAATGTTTCTATTTAGAAGATATATTTAAAACATAAAATAGTAAAATATCCTACAGATGAGATTGTTTATTAATATAACGAGTAAAATAGACCATTATGTATCCTTAACAAAAGTGGAAGGATATGTATAGTCTTATCCCTGGGATTAGGTTGTTGTCTTTATTGATGAAGTTCTCTTTAAGCTTATAAAAATATTATATGTAGCTAGATTATAGTATGTAACTGTGGGGTTTTTTAAGAATTCAGCTTTTCAAATGGCAATGATTCTTTGATTTTTTTGTCCTGATGCATGCCTGTGATATTCAGTTACCTTATGCCATAGCATTCATCTAAGGTTTTATGGTTAAATCTGCCCTTTGTAATTCAACTATCACCTTACTGAAACCTCTCCTGAGGTTTTCCCAGTCTACACTGAAGCTGACTACATTGTGCACATATGCAGCATTTTGTCTTCCTTCAAATGTGTTCTATAAGCCTTTGGTATGCACTGGTCATACATAGAATAAAAAACTCATGGTAAATTGCTCTAGGTCCTTGATTTCACTAGTTAGATTACAGTGTTAACACCAGCATCTGGTGCTCAGCCACTGTCCAGCTCCTTTGACCATCACTGACTGACAAAGCCAGGTCTTCATTTTCTCCCCCTGATTGACATCTGTATTAGCATGTGCAGTTGTTACTTTCCTATATAATAATTTCCATAATTGTTGTGTTGACTTGTTTAATGGTTCGTTTACTGTGTTATTTGTAAATGGCTTATGTGTTTCATCACTTGCTTAACATGTTAGTGTCTCAGTGTTTTATCTCCATTTTCTACCAGTTAATTTATGTCAACTTCTTGTTCTTCAGATCTTCCCCTCTTAGCCCATCTCTCTCCTCTCTCTGTCTTCATCCTGCACCTGTTAACATTTGTCCAGACCTTCGCCTTTTTTTCTCTCTCCTAGCTGTCATTGCCACTTCTAATTATCTGACTCATTTTTTAAGCTTCGTATCTACCATTTAGATCTCTTTCATTAGGAGGTCGTGTTCTGCAGATTCTTCATACATAGGATGGTCAGAAATTACACTTTTCTGCTATGTGATTTTTCTCTTCCTTTCCAATTTTCATTGATTTCAAACAGTTCATTCATCTCACCCACGCTGATTGTTTTCTCTGGCATCACAAACTCTTATCCACCCACTCACAGCCTTAAGTTATACACACTGTTTACTTCCTTAACTTCTTTTCCCAGTTGCCTGAGAAATCTCTACAAATACTCATGACTCTTATCTCTTTTCTTTTCTCCTTTACTACCATAATTTCACTGCTAAAGAAATTTTCAGCTAAAGAAATTTCCAGCTAAAGGAATTAGACCATTTACCTGTTCCATCATTTTGACCATGCCACTTTTTATTCTTCTTATTTTATGTCTCATGAAATTAATTTTTTTCATTAACCTTCATGGGGTTTTTCTCATTTTTGACACTTGTCATTTGCTATGTCACATTTTATGTCACAGATTTCAAATTCCTCCTTTTTTCTTTGATGTCAGAATGAAATTTCTTTTTCTGCTCCTTCATGTGCTGTTTTTATACTTTCTTCCATTACAATCCTGAAGCACACTCTATTCTTCTTGGATTCATATTTTTCTTAGACTTGTTTCTTTTAGTCCAGCTTATGGTGATCTTCAAATAAATTGATCAGCCAGTGATTGCTACATTTTGCATCAGTAGAAGAAAGCTGATGACTCTTTCCTCTCCTTGTCTCCCTGACGAGGATCCAGACCTTTGTGTAACAATCAAGTTTTACAGCTTGCATATTCATGTTGTCATAGTTTAATTACAGTGTTCAGTTCTCTCTTCTTCCTATTTATCACATTCAGTTAGGATTAACTTCAAATTGCGTTACAGATTAATTAGATCAAGAATCATTCCTTTTTTTTTTTTTCTTTAATTGGTCCAGCATGAGAGGTTGCATCTTTATTTATAAATGAAACTGCTGCTTGTAGGGATTCACATGCTACCTATGCTCCTCCAAATAATTCTTGGAATGGTTCAGGAGTTTGTATAGGCATAGGTTGATTTCCAAGAAGCAGGCAGCATGTTTAAACCATGGATTCTGACTGATCCATGATCACTTGCCTCGGTGACAAAGAGTAGTTCCTGGCACATTTAATTTACTGGCATGGATGCAGTCTCTCTTGATCCTGACTGACTTTTGATCGTTGCCTTTGCATAAAACAATAGTACTTCCTCTAATAATTGCAATAATTTAGGCTAAGAGAAGACAAAATGGAATTTGTAGTATTATTTTAATAAACTGATAATAGGTTCAGCTATAAGTCCTCTTAAATGTTTAAGAAGTTTTGATCTGTGTCAGACAACATGTAGCATATATTTTTCAGAGAATTATACATAATTATTTCTGCCTAGATATTTGGATAAATGGAGGAATGCTGCTAAAATCCCTTTTGTAGCCCTATTTTGATATGTAAGCTAAAGTCATCAGAATTCTGTAGTTGTCCTTGAAGGATATTTAAGCATCACAGGATATGTTAGGTATGGGCATTCATACTGAATGACAAATATATTATTTCCTCATTCAACAAAACTCTCAGAGCTGTATCGCCCTGGTGTCTAGGTTGTAGTTCTTGGACTGTAGATTTCTCCAAGAGGCACATTAAAGAAACTCAACTTCATGTGTTACAGCTCGTTACATCTGTTGTCTGTTCTGGAATGTTTCTCTCAGTCAGGTAAGAAGAGACAAGGAAGTATGAGAAAGAAAAAAAAGTGTCAAAAGAAATTATTTGTGCCCTTTAATACTTTTTTCTTCAGTTGTTTGTCCTTATATCTTACTTTCTGCCCACAGATGGATGTGTTGCCATATATATTGTCTTTTTGTCACTGCATTTCTCTCTGAAAATGTTTATCTGTAACTTTGGGTAGATACTCTTCAGCCCAGAGTTTAACTATGCAAAGTTTTTGGCAACACATCCTTCTTCCTAATCTCTCCTCAAAAGAGTTGCTTCATCTCTGAGATGCATAAGGCATCAGTTTATGCACTTCTACACATCAAACTCTATTTCTCTATGTCTATTTTATTTATGGTATTCTCTTTTTATTTGATGTATTTGCATTTTTCTTAAATGAGGTAATGCAAGTATAATTGGACCTTAGCCCTAATGGATCCGTATGATTTCCTCCCAGATAAGTGAGTAGTTTGCTTGGAAGGTTTGCCCTTAGACATACCGCAAATATTCTCCTAAATTTCTTCAACAGGAAACCTAATGAGAAAAACTAAAATAATTCTATTTTGTGAAGAGCTGAGAAAAAATTCACACTGTCATTGGAATTCCCAATTTGCATTTCACTGATGGGGTTTTTCTACTGACTAACTGTTAAATGTTATCTTTTATCATGATTTTAAGTGAGTAGCATCCTTTGAATGCTTGTCCATCTATATATTTATACTCTGTGAGTTTGCACCGCAATCACATTGAGTTAGGACAACCCAGTGGTTCTGTCTAATCCTTCAAACTATATAAAATAACAAAAATTAATGAATTGAACACAACTTTTGTTCTCAGCAATTCAGAAGGGTCTAAGATACAGATATTGAAAAGGGGAGAAAGAGAAATGTGGGTAGTGAATTTGTAAATA